AGGAAGGAAGGAAGGAAGAGGCACTAGATCTTATTATTTTCTGTGCATCCTCCTAGCTGCATGTATGTACTTGACTTCTCTGAAGCCTCAGGTTTCTCATCTATAATGTGGGAATAACAGTGCCCACTTCCCAGGGCTGATGTATGAATAAAATGAGTCATACCCATTTTGATAAATTCCGGCTCCATTCTGCTTTCTGAGCCATGGCCTTTTCATCTGTTGAAGTGGCTAAGAACACCGACCTCTCAGCGTTGTTATGAGGATCAAGACGCTGTTGGACTCTTAGGCTCTTTACAGATTGTAAAGGGTGGAACAAATGTTATCCTTCAGTATGACCTGAGTTCCTGTTTCCTGTTGTACCGCGAGCCGCTATAGGCTGTTCACTCACCCCTGTGAATCCCCAGCAAACCTCAAATCATGGTAGGAACCCAGCCCCTGTTATAAGACAGACTGCGGCGAGTAATTAGAGCTTAATGTCTGAACATGATTTGGATAGAGCTGTTTGCAAATCTCTTGTCATTCTTTTTCAGACTTGATTTCAGAAATGAAAGGTCTCCTTGCCTCTTCTGTACACCAACAATGCAAAAGCAAATTCAGAACCCCTGGATGCCTGAGGAGCTCTATAATTAGATAAAAATTACAATCCGATGTTATAATGTGTATGTGAGCAGGACTAAATGAAGGCTGAGGGGCTGCAGCAGAGGGGTCCAAAGAAATTTTATATGCAGTGCTAGCACCTTGCTTAGAGAGCCTGCTTGTAATTAATGCTTGAAAATGCCTTCGGTTTCCTGAATCTCACGGTGAATAGAGAAAGGGAATAACATTTCTTTAAGCCCCTACTATGTGCTAAGCATTTCACTGCTTTATTACTATCATGTGAGAGCCTCCTTTAGGAGATGAGCTTAAAAATCCCAGTTTTGCTCGTGAATAAATGATAGAAGAGTGAGTTTCCTTGCCCAAGGTTTTGCTCTTGCCGCTGGACCATATGTCTGCCTTTTGCCTCCCATCTCAGGCTGCTATAAAAAAGTAGCACAGATTGGGTGGCTTACACACAACAGATATTTATTTCTCATGGTTCTGGAAGCCGGAAGTCCAAGATCAAGGCACAGGCAGATTCAGTCTCTGGTGGGGCCTCTCTTCCTGGCTCACACATGGCCATCTTTGCCTTTCTCATCTGGCAGAGGCAGCTCTCTGGGGTTCCTCTCATAAGGGCACTAACCCCATTCATGAGGGCTCCATCCTCTTGACCTATCACTTCCCACAGGCCTCAACTCGAAACACCTCAACTCTAATTCAACGTTCGAATTTGGGGAGACACAGACATTCAGACCATAGCATCCTCCCTTCCTTTGTTCAGCAAACCCAGAAGGAAGGGCTGATCATTTAAAACTCGGTTGGAAACAGGTGGTTCTGTGTGGAAATCCTCCCACACACCCTCCAGCACAACCTGACACCCCGCCGAAAGCGTACACAAAAGCATCATCGCTAAATGGGCAACAAAGCATCCGTTTTATACATTTCCAAGCAGATGCTTGCTTTGCTTATGCAAACTATGGTAAAAGCTAGAATACAGAATTTGGTTCACATCAGGAGGCCATCTGGTGTCCGTCCTAAATCTCTTGGGTCTCTGCCTGTCTCCCTCACGCTACCTTCCAACTCCAGGGTGGGGTCTCCCCGTGATGATACCGGGAAAGATGAATGTATGCCACATCCTGCCTCCCGGTGCCAAGGAATGAGGGGGACCTGGGACGGTGCCCGTCAGGACTTCCTGGGGGCACTGAGCTTCCTTGCTCAGGAAGACACAGTCAGGCCTCTTCCCACAGGGAAGGTCAGACTCTGGCTTCCAGACCATCTCAGTGGGTCTAGGAGGAGGGCAGGGCAAGCATCTGAACTCACATAAACACTGACCTTCAACAGGACCCTGCCCTCCAAAAAGAATGAGGTTCGCTAAACATCGCAGACAGGCTCTGAGCAGGCAGGTTGGCCCTTCGTCCTTGAGGGGGCAGCCAGGGAGAGGTGCTGGGAGTTGGGTAGGAATGCACTACTCTCTGAAGTCTAGCGAGGGGAGAAACACAAGTCTTCTCCCAACACAAGTCAGTGAGTATTTATTGAGCACTTTCTGTGTGCTCAGCCGTATGCCGGGTGTCATGGAAGAATCCATAGAAGAGCTGAGCCTTGGAGGATGGACAGGGCATCCACCAGGAGACTGGGGAGCATTGGAATTACATGAGAAAGCATGAAGGTAGACACAGCCTAGCATTGAAGGCATGTGCTTGAGTATTACCCTTGGGGTGCAGACAGGTGAGAGAGACAGAAAAGGCAGCAGAGAGAGCCCTGGGCAGCGTGCAACGTCCCATATGACGTGTAGACTCTCTCTCGATGACAGAGCTGGCCACGAAACCAGGCAGCGTTCTAACTCGCCTTGGCTCGGCTGGCTTCTGCCTCAGCTTTGAAACAAGACATTTGTGTTCTCCATGGCTGCCTCACATTATTGAGACACATGGGCCTCAGAATTGGGTGCTTCTCTCCTGGGACAGACTGACAAGGTGATCCACCTGGCTTCTCCCTCACTGGTCTCCCCTGGGGGCCCAGGAATAATGGCGTGTTGTCAGGGAGATTTTCCAGCCTGTTTGGGGGGACATTTCCCATCTGCCCAGAGCCCTCTGGGAACCCACTGCTGGGCAGACCTTCTGCTCTCATCTAGAACTCCTACAGAGATTTCCTGTCAAGGTGACCCATGCGATCAAAACTGTGCAGGTATTTAAAAAGGTAGATAAAACCTCCCACAGTGAAAGCTTCGGCTGTGGGAGGCGTGACTTGCACGACGCTTGCCCAGGCAGAGGAAGCTGCTGTCTCCATCACCCCCTCCTGGTAAAGGTCTCGCCTCCTGGCTGTCATGATGCTGCGCACTCCCGCTCTCCTGCCTTTTGGACCACATTTCCTGATTACCTTTGTGGTCTTCCCTTCTTCCAGCCCCTCTGCGTCCCCCGTAGCTCCATCTTTTGTCCTCCTGTTCTTACCATGCACACCCTCCTTGGGCGGGTTCCTCTGTTCTCAGATCTTTATACTTATAAGACCACTTATTCACTCCAGACCCAGAGTTCTACACCATCCCTCTATGTGGCTCCAGCCGGATGATCCACAAGCACCAAAAATTCCACTTGCCCCAAATCAAATCCATCATCCTTATCCCCTATTGACTCTCCCTGCATTTACCCAGTTAAGATGGTAAAAACACAGATGCTGTTCTGCAGGGTTTACTTCTCCAAAATGCCCCCTATGTGCACATGCAAAACGCTTACTAAGATCCCCGCCACATCTTTCTCTGAACCTCCAGCTTATCAGTGCTCTTACCCTACATTCCTCCCTAAAAACCTTCTCTTCAACCTCCAAGGCCTCGCCCAAATGTCACCTCCTCTCTGAAGCTTCTCTTGATTTCCTTTCCTATTTTCTAAATGATGGTTGCTCATAACCCTTTATAGATCATAGCATATTATATAATATTTCACCACGTCTACATTCCCCTCTAGATTATGGTCTGGTAGAAGATGGGCAAGATGTTTCTTTGCTCCTGGTACCCACTGACGCCTACCACTGTGCCAGGGAAGAAAGCTTGCTGAGTGAATAAATAGCATGATGATACCACAGAAACAAAAAAAAGATGACTGCAGACATGGGAGACAGATTTCTCCCCAAAGTGATTAGAATAGCAGAGTGGTACAGCGTGTGGACTGTAAATCCTAGCTCTCACATTTACCAACCCAGTGACCCTGTGGAAGTTGGTTCTCTCGGCCTCAAATCTTCACGTGAAAAAAAAAAGATCAAAAGACCTGTTGGGTTTGTTCTGACATAGTTTATATAAAGCATTTAGCACTGCACCTAGCATATAGTCAAAGCTCAATCCATTCCTTGCACTAGTGTTATTAATAATAAATCAGAAAATTCAGGCAGGAGGATAGTAAGAGATAGCGTTAGAAGAAGAAAGTGGGTCCAACCGCATTCAGTAAATGCGTGTTTATTGGCCACCAGCCAGTGAACGATGTTAAACCCAAATTGCTGAAGCCAACTTCACTTTATGAAGGAAGGCGTACACATAAAATCTCCTTCCATTTCCATCAAAGTACCTTTTAACATGCAGTTCACTAAATGACACAGAGCTAGAGAATTCAGAGATGTCAGTATAGGTCATGAATGGCTGGACATAGAATAGAGAACGAGAGATGAATTCCCAAGGAGAAACAGCATGTCTGGTTTAGGCTGGTTAATAAGGAGAGGAAGCAGTCAAAGACGCCTCCAGAGATGGGGTGTTAGATCGCTGAGTCACTAGAAAAAGCCTGACACCCAGCAGAGATACCCAGTAGACAGGAGGTACCATGGCAGTTGCTTTGGTGACAGCTTGAAGCTCGAGATAAGATAGTTGGGGGTGATGCTGAAGCTTTGGACAAGGATGGGTTCTCCTTACTCATGTCTCAAATTGCACTCTCACCCATGTCCCTCATGGCACACAGTACATTCGACACAAATCCTGGTTATCACTCACCAAACTGAACAACTTGGAACAGGTGCCAAGTTCAGTTCTTGGCATTGGAGCAGGTGCAGCGGGAATGTGTTTCATAAAACCCACCCTGAAGGGGAAAGGGCGTGTGGTTCCCTCCCAGAGTTTTGAGATAAAATTCTAGTGGTGTATTGCCTTGGCAGCAGCTGCCTAGTGAGAAAGATGAATGATAAAAGAAGTGAAAAACTTGGGCAGCAGTGATGCATCACGCCAAATATTTGATATGCGCCGCTAAGTTTCTCAACAGAGAGAGTATTCTAGGGATGGATGCAATAGAAAATGTCTCGTGCAATAACCCTTTTCTTGAACAAATAGAGCTTTAGATGAATCACTGGGTGCAAGGGGCAGGGAAAGGCAATTCTGGATGTGATTGACAGTGTTGCTCAGGGAGCGAGGATCAGACCATTGAAGCCACGTGACCCAATGTTCCATGCTTCCCCCGCAGGGCGATGCCAATGGCCATCCAGTTTTCCATCCTGATTATGCTGCACTCGGCTCTGGTCCTCATCACCACCGCGGAGGATTATAAGTGTTTGCCCCTTGTCCTCCGGAAAACTTGCTGTTGGATCAACGAGACCTATTTGGCGCGGAATGTCATCATCTTCGCCTCCATCTTGATCAATTTCCTGGGCGCCATCCTAAACATCGTAAGCATCCCTCCCCACCAACCCTCTGGCATCTAGGGTGCACTCAGGAATTCAGAGTTCATGGAGCCAGCAGCTTCTCACCTTGCTGTCCTTGGTACCAGTGTCCAGCCCCGAGCTTAGGAACAGAGCACAGCAGTGGGGCTACTGTCAGAACTGTGCATTTCACTGGTGGCAAATGTTCTTTTTCCCGGTGGGAGGGGTTATTTGCTCCAAAGGAGCTCCCACCTCCCTTAAGTTGCTGTACCGTCTGTGGCCAGTCAATCACCAGAATAAATAAGAGTTGCTATTTATTAAGGACATACCTGCTGTGTGCCACACGCTGGAGGAGGAGCTGTCTCTGTTTTCGTATTTAATCCTCCACATAAACCCCTTGAGGTAAGTCCCATTATCCCCACTTTATGGCTGAGGAAACTGAGGCTCAGAGACATGAAATAACTTGCTAAGAAGGTCTGTCTGACTCCACAACTCACGCTCATTGCTAAATTGTATCTCTGGGAGTGGGAGCCGGGGCAACGGACATAAATAGCTATCATTCATTGAGCACCTACTATGGGTTACAGGTAGGTATCACTGTTCCCATGGAATGGAAGAGGAAACTGCATTTCAGGAAGGCTGAGCTTCTTACCTATGAGTTTCTAAAAGTTCAGAGTGGATGTGACACATCGATTCCAGTGAATTTCCTACTGCCACATTTATCATTGTTTTTGATTCGGTGATCTATGTTTTTACTGATTTCATTTTGTCTCGAGAATGGTAGCTGTAGGTGTTTTCTACGTATGTACAAACAGCCTGTGTCATCCATGACTTAGGGACCTAGAGGTTAAGAGTGGTTTATCTGATTCCAGGCTTTGGACTTGGCACATTGAGAGAGACTCGTAGAGGCATCATCTGGTGGCTGAAGCCGTCATCGCGGCCCTTGGGCCTGAATGAGGGTCTCTATGTGGTCAGGGATCCAAAGTGCAGACTCCCGTAATTGTCGTCCTGTGTGCTGCAGGCTTATGCTACCTGAGATGTGTTGTCCAAATTGGCCCAGTAATTATTTAGAGTCTGCGATGCTCAAGCTCCGCGGTTGGCCTTGAAGGAAAGGACTTCATGAGATGAAGAAAAAGGGAAACCACAGTCTAGTTAAATTCATCATCTAATGAATATTTGGGAGATTATGGCAATTGAAAATGGAAGTACATTGGCTCATTGATCACAGTGTTCAGGGGTGTAGCCAGGGTCTTCTCTTGATGAGTCAGATATGTCTGGGGTGCAGGATTTGGATATAAGCCCGAGGACTCTAGGTCAGGGTCACCTCTGGGGCCAGCCGTGTCACAGTGGTGTGAGAGGCAGCTCAGAGGCTTTGGAGTCAGATAGACCTGCGTTCAAATCTCAGCTCCATTTACCAGCTCAGTGACCCTGGACAAGTTACTTTATTTCTCAGAGTTTCATATTTTTCAGTTGTAAAATGGGGATAAAAATAGTAGCGACATCACAAGGTGATTGCAAAGGCGTTTTTTGGTACAGAGTGTCTGGCACAGAGGAAGCACTCAGCCAATGGTAGCTGTTATTTTCTGAGTGCCGCAAAATGTCCAACAGCAATTTCCGGCCTAGGATATGCCCACTGCCCCAGTGCTGAGAGCCTTTCCGGAAAACGTGCCCCCTCAGATCCTTCACACGCTCCCAGCTGCTGACGTGGAGACAGGCTGCGAGCTCACCCCAGACCTTTGCTCTTGCCATCTGCTCTCTCTTCTGTGCACAGACCCTCCTCCATGGGGCCAGCAGAGCAGTTTTCACCGGCTCTCCTTGCTGGCGGGCAGATGCTTTTCCTGAGCCAGTCCTTTCTTCAAACTGAAAGAGCCGGTCCCAGCTGGCCCCCTCCGGGCCTGGCCTGCCCCAGGCTTTCACTGACGCCCCGCGCTGATAGCACACAACTCCTTTTCCAGCACCCACACTGACTCTGTTGTTCCTGTTTTTTTGTGTTTTTTTTTTCTTCTTGTTGTTGTTTTTTGTTTTTTAATCCGCAGCTGTGGTGTGATTTTGACAAGTCGATACCCTTGAAGAACCTGACTTTCAATTCCTCAGCTGTGTTTACAGATATCTGCTCCTATCCAGAGGTATTTATTCACAAGCTCCCCTTGGCGAGACTTGGGCCTGGGTATCGCCACCAGCTCCACATAAGCAGGACTGGCCGGAGGGCCTCGGCAAGCACTCAGAGACCTGTTTCCTTCTTCTGCCTCTTCCTCCTCCTTTCTTCTTCTCTGTGTCTGCCTTTCCTTCTCTCCTTGTACTATCTGCTTTTCCTTTTTCCTGCCCCCTCCTCTCTTTCCTGTTGCTACCCTTTCCCCAGTCCTCTCTCCCTTCTTCCTCCTTCTTGTCTTCCTTCTTTACCTTTCCATCTACGCATTTTCCTCTTTCCCTTTGTGTCTTCCTCCCTTACTCTTTTCCCCCAACTCATATAAATATCAAAGACCGAATGTGTCCTTGTCATCAATAGAGGACAGAGCACAGAGCTATTGCTCAAAGGGTGTTTGCTGCATTGAAAAAGGAAGGATGGAAAGAAAGAAGGAAGGATGGATGCATGGATGGTAGGAGAGATGGAGGAAAAGAGGAGAAAAGGTAGGAAAAGGAAGGAAGGGACGGAGGAAGGGAGGAAGAAAGAAAGGAAGCTAGTAAATCACAAACACAGACAACAACTACACTTAAATCAAAGTGGCATAGAACATGCGTGGAGCACCACAGGGTCAGGAGGTGTCCCAACAGGATACCGCCATCATAATGTCTGACCTTCTCTTGGCTGTAGAGCCACTGGTCGGGCCCTGGCCTTAGGGTCAGCCTGCAGGGCTGGGCAAAGGACAATTTTAGGCTCTAGTCATGGCCCAGACCTTTACATATTGGGACAGAAGTTCTGGGTCAGAAGGGAGGACAGCAGGTTGTCCCAGCAAATCCCAGCCAATGCCATATCCTGAAGACGCCGGGTAGACTCTTGTTCTCTAAGACCCCCTCCAACATGCGGGCGGAGGAAAGTCTGTTGTCTCACCTGGGCCCCAGAATTGCTCTGAGAAATGTCTGAAAAGGAGCGAAAGACTCACACCCCACCCCAGGTATAGAGCATGTACCTGATATGCATAACGTCATTACATCCTCAAGATGCGTGGGGTCAGTGCTGTGACCATCTACACTTTATAGGTAATGAAACAAAGGCTTAGCAGGTGACTCTCTCAGTGCCACTCCTGCCCGACTCTCCTTCCTCACTTCCTTCCATCCTTCCTTCTTTCTGTCCTTCTCTTCTCACTTCAGTTATCAAGACTTAGGACTGCAGTGCAAACCACATCTGGCTTATTCGTGAGCCCACACTTCTGAACCCAGGCTCAGTCCCTAGCAAAGGACCGAGCTCTTCTTATGGGATTCCAGGGCAGGACAGAGCTCGCTCTCATTTCAGGGCTGCACAGGACAGACCACATGCTCTAGGACTTCCCCCCACCAAGCAATGAGTGGGCATCCGTTTGATGGATGCTGTGAGACACCAGCTCCCTGGTTTGGAGAGCGTGATGAATGTCCCAAAAGGCAGGAGTAAGGTGACCAATCAGATATTGAGAGCTAGGCAAAAGCTGGGTTTCATGCCCAACTGAAACCCTTGACTTGCTAGCCGTGGAATCTTGACTCAGTTCTTACTCTGAACCGCAGCTTCCTCATCTGTAAAGTGGGAAAAATAATACCTTCCGCGGGTGGCCATTGTGGCGTTAAGGAATATTTGTTCTCATGGTGCCTACCTAGATGACTTAGCGAATGTTGAGTTTCTCACATGACATCCGACCTGAAGTAGGGATTCATGAACGGTTAATCCATGTCATTCTAAATCAGCACTGTGGACCCTGGGCCCCAAACCTGAACTCCCAAACTCAGGACCACGGCCCTCATAAATCCTCCATCCCTAAGAATGCGATGGGTAAGCTTTTTGTTCACATAGTTGCACCTCTGTGCCTCAGTTTCCTTATCTGTAAAATGAAGGTGAAGGTAGTGCCTTCCTCATGGGTGGTTGGATTAGGGGAATTCACCCCTCTAAAGTATTTTTACAGCCACACCTGGCACAAAGGAGCTGCTCATTAAATGTCAGCCATGATGTATTGATTATTTCTAGTAAACAGGTTTGGAGCCCAGACCCCCGGTATATGTGTACTATAAGTTGCATCCCTATCCTAGTGTGTCGACATAGCATATGCATTATGAAACATACTCAGAAAAGAGAATGTCAAAAAGTGAGATAAAATGAATGAATCAGAGTGTTCATAGTTTTCTCCCACAACCAAAGCATCAGTCTTGTTCAGGGGTCAGCATACTATGCGCATAGGCAAAATTCTCCCTGCCACCTATTTTGTGAATCAAGTTGTACTGGGGCACAGCCACACCCATTCATTACCGAGTGTCTATGGCTGCTTTTATAACACAATGGCAGAGTTGGATGGTGAAGCCCACTAAGCCAAAAAATATTTACTTCCTGGCCCTTTACAAAGGTTGCCAACTGCTGACATCCCCTCTGGTGCAGGGATAGCTTCTGGCCTAAATGGTGAGGACCTGGACTCTTTCCATCACCAGCTACTACCCTGTTTTGCCCCACCATTTGCCTTCCTCATATGTATGGCTGGGCTTCTCTACCGGAGGATTTGGCTACCAGACTATTGGGTTGTCAGAAAAGTCATGATGCATGTTTGCAACGAAAAACCTAGGAAAAATACGTCATGACTTTTCCGACAACCCAATAGAAGGAATCAGCCATTCAGACCTTCTAAAGGGCTTAATGGGCACACCCCTTCCCATCAATCACAAGTGTGCGTCCCAAGCCAATCACTGCATCTCTCTGAGCCTCATCTGTGTCCTCACCTGTGTCCTTGACCTCTCTCCATCACCCATGAGAAAAGATACTCACTTTGAAAGCACATTATTAAACTGGATGATGGGCTATAAACATATGAGGTGGCAATCTCAGAGATGGTGTAAAGTAGAATTTAGTTCTGAGCTGGAGCTTGCCAAGTGCTAAAAAAGAGTGAAGATAACAGGAAATGACAGTGAAGAAAGCCATCTTCCAACTCTGATCTCAGAAGCAGCCTAGGGGAGGGAGAGGCATAGCTTTGCAAAATGAATGCAAATCCTATGCACGAACCCACAGTGTCATGATCTCAAACTCCTACAGGTAGTTCTCAGGAGGCTTGATGGGAAGACCTTCATTTTAGAACCAAGTCCCTTTATTGTATGCTCTGGCACATTTCAATAAATAGTTAACTATATTTGTAAGAGCACTCGGAGCTGGCTATAGTTTTAAAGGGCCCTCAAGAGCCAATTTTCCATAGAGGTGTAATAATCTGTGTCTCTGCCTCCTGGTACTTCCTCCCATGTCCCCTCTCCCCACCCCCACAAGTATTCAGGTCCTACCCAGCCTTGAAGCCTCCCTTTTTCAAAGTTCATTCTTTGGCGGACCCAGTCCTTTCAGATTACTTCCTGCCATCTTGACACCCTGTGGCATCATCTTAGTGCTCACACTCCACGGTTTCTATAATGTATTTATCTAGCTAGAACATTCCTCCCACACCTTCAGATTTATAAATTGCTTTAAGCAGAAAAGACAATATTGTTGAGTTATTCAAGTTTACCCAAAGGACAGAGCCCACAGTCTGTGTTTAGCAATTTTTCTTCAAAAAGAAAAAAGGTGTATTTCCAATGAAGCAGCAGAGAAGTGATTTACCTCCCCACCTGATACAAATAAGTACAAACAAAATATATGAAGCAACAGTTTTGAAGATACCGGGCATCAGGCAATGATGAACAGCGATCCTGGAAAAAGAGGAAATACATGAAGCGAGTATTACGATTGAGCTTTGATTGAGTTCAGAGGGTTTTCTGGCTGTCGCTCAGGTTGGAGGAATCCAAATGAAACCCTAATGGACTCCCTGATTTGAGGAGACAGAGCTGAGAGTCTGGGGAGACTGAGGTGGCTAGAGTTTGCAGGACATGCTACCAGAGAGGAGAGAGCTGCACACAGAGAGAGAAACCCAGAGATCTGCAGAGGGCTCCATCAGCGCATGCTTGGGAAACAGCCAGGACTCATGCCTGGCGCCCACACGGCACGTGAAATAGTGGTTTTTTTTCCCACCAGGCAGATTGAAAAACATCATAATTCATGGAGCTTTATGGATAACCAGGACGGTCTTGCTTCAGAAGTGTGCAATAATTTTACTCTGAGATTATATACTGCTGTGGTTTTTCCTAAATAATCTTAAAAGTAAGACCAAAAGCATAAGGCTTTTCTTCTTTTCTTTAGATCCATATGGTTATTTTTGGCATTACAGAAACAAAAAATAAATCCAATCAGATAATGAAATAAACATGGAGGGCAATTTGTCTTTAAATAGGGATAAATTACCCTAAAAGAAATGAATCCTAGATATTAGTTTGCCCTTCAAGGCAAGTGTCTTGTTCATTAACTTCCTGTTTAAAAAATAAGAAGAAATATTTTATATTAGAAAATGTAAGTTAGATTTCTCTATTTCGAAAGAATGAATGTTCATCTTAGCTTTCTTTGTAACAGCCCCAAACTGGAACAACCCAAATGTCTATAAATGAATGAAAGGATGAATAAACTGTGGACTGACCATCCAGTGGACCATTACTCTCTACCCATCAGCAGAAAGAAATGGTCTCTTGAGATGTGCAGTAGCATGGAAGTCATTATGCTGAGGGAAATAAGCAAAACCGAAAAAGTGTATATTGTACGATTCCATTTATCCAAAACTCTAGAAAATGCACACTGGACACATAATAATGAATAAATCTGGGGGGAGGAGGAAACGGTGGGAAGGAGGACTTAATTCTAATGGGACACAATGAAACTTGTGCAAGTGTTCATTTTCTTGATCATGATGGTTTCATGGATGTACACATATTTTAAAACTTGCTGAACTGTATGCTTTATATATATGCAGTTTACTGTGCGAGTATATCAGTTATAACTCCATAAAGCTGTTTTAAAAAATGAAGTATAAAATAGGAACCAGAAAGACAGACAGACAGAAAGAGGGAAGTGGGATAACAAAGGGTCAGTCAGAAACCTGTCAGCAGAAAATTTTGGCCTTAAAATTGTGCCTACCTCACAGGATTGCCCTTAGAGCATCTGTTCTTGGGTCATTTTAAGAATTAAATAAAACAAATCATATGTGAGGTATGATAAAAAATTACAGTGAATGCTTAAACACATTTATTACAATAAAAGACATTGTCAGTAATCTCCCTCAAAATACTCTTCCTCGCTTCGAACACACTTATCCCACCATTCTTGCCACTTTCTGAAACAGCTCTGGAAGTCCTCTTGCGTGAGTGTCTTTAGTTGTGCTATGGTGGCTGCTTCCATGTCCTGATTGATTCAAAACATTTACCTTTCGTGGTCATTTTGACTTTGGGGAAGAACCAGAAGTTGCCCAGTGCCAGGTCCAGTGAATAAGGTGGATGAGGACACGCCGTAATGTTTTTATTTGACAGAAATTGCTGTACCAGAAGTGATGTGTGACACGGAGCCTTGTCATGATGGAGGATGAAGTAAAGACACTCACAAAAGAGGACTTCCAGAACTGCTTCAGAAAGTGGCAAGAATAATGGGATAAGTGTGTTTGAAGTGAGGGGGAGTATTTTGAGGAGGATCAACAGCAATGTGTCTTTTTCTGTAAAAATTTTTTAAAATTTAAACATTCACCGTATTTTTTTATCATACCGCATAAGCTCATTTATGGAGTGCCTTGCTCAGAATAGGTACCCGATGTTTAGTTTTAGTTATTCTCCTCATGCCCCTATGTAGCCATCACATTAGCTCACATTGTTGGCAGGGCACTTTCCACAGTGTTTACTCTTGCCATTTTTATGTCTGCTTCACATATTAGACTAGGACCTCCTTTAGGCCTGGCCACCTCTTATTCGGAGCCTGGCACCATCCCTTGATGACAACAGGCATTCAATAAATCCCTATTACAGTTTTAAAATTTAACTGTGGTGCCCTCCTAAGTTTTTACTTAAGGGCACAATCATTTCGATGGCTTTTGACCTAATAGGTGATTCCTAGTTTGCGTTGAGAGAGTCATGCACATGTGATGCAGATAACAATGAAACAGGACCCGTCGGTTCGATTCCTCTTTCCTCCATTTGTTAAAATGGAATATCTTCTAAGGTTCTCTGGATGAAGAAAATCAAGTCTAGAATGAACTTATTATCGCCTGCTCACTTCACTCACAGCTTCTTGCATAAAGGCATCAAAAAGAGTCATCTAAAAATTTTGCCAAGAAAAGATATTGAAGGGGAGCCTATCATTCCAATAGAGATAAGGACACAATCGGGTTGACTAGGAAAGGAAGAGACAAGTTAAAAGATGCCCCAGACTCTGGGCTCCTTAAGGGCAGGACAGTCATTCATTTCTGAGTCCATCCCATGCCCCCTAAAGGCACAGGAGTGGGGAAGGGGGAACTCAGGTGCTATCCACATTGGTTGATACCAGTATTCCTTGAAAGTATACATGAATGAGTCAGTTTGGCTTAAGAAATCAATAAACATGTGTTCAGAGTTGCTCAGGGATTTCTGGAAATTCTTACCTGTCTCCTCTGCCCACACAGAAATTGTCTCTTCATGTAATAGGAGAAAAAAAAAAAGACAGCTAGTAAAAGTAAAGAGCCATGTATAACAAGACTGGGGTAGATTTTGGATATTATCAAGCCTGGTGCACCCACGAGTCACATTTACATGGACAGGTTTTATCCAGGTGTCCTTGGTGTCAGTTTTCTAGCTAAGAGAACTCGAACAACTTACTTAAGCTCTATGAGCCTCAGTTTCTTCACCTGTAAAATGGGGATGATGATTCCCATCTTGGCCACTTATTTTGAAAATTACAAGAGAAAATGTGTACCAAGAAGTAAGTCTTGACACCCAAGTGGGTCTCTGATAATATGAGTTTTATTCTTTTTTCCCACTGGATAGTCAGAACTTAAATCTACCATCCAGGATGATATATTGAGCTATTTCTGTAAGGGAAGTAGGCTGAGGCGCTTCCTACAGAAAGCGGAAATCTGGCTGGGCAGACGGACGTGGACAGGGAAGCCACTGGAATAACCGAGCTCTTGAGTGATTTCAAACTGGCCATTTTCACAGCTGCTTCCGACCCAGGGTGACAGAGGGCATGCCGAGCTGTGGAGGGTGCTATGGAGGAATGAGACAGTGTCCAGAAGCACCTGACGATGTGCATGCAAGTTCCCAGAAAGGACACTGAGTTTGTCGGAGGAGTGAGCTTAGTCACATGGCTGAGATTTGGGGACACCGGACACACAAAGCATAGGGAAGAGTTGTGGGGAACGGCAAGTGGGGAGTGAGGCTGGGATCTATGTCGGGGTTTGGAAAGTGAAAGGAAACCTGATATGTGGTGGTCTTGAGAGCTGTGCTATTCAGAAAGAAGAACATGATTTGAGGGAATGGAGAGCAATGAAAGGACTTCAAGTTGAGGAGTGATAGGATCAGATGTGTGTTTTAGGAATACTGGGTAGAAGGAGAGTGTATGGGGGTGGGGGGTAGGGAGAGGGACTGGGAGCTAGGAGCAGGTAGAGCTTCCGGGAAATGTTTCCAAAGCTGTAGGTGAGAACTAAAACAGAAACGGGTAGAAGGAGAAAGCTGGCCGGATGGGGGGAGAGGGAGGCAACAAAGATGAGACCACGGCATGGTGTGAATGGCTTCCCTAAAACATATGGAGCAGAGGTTTGGGGAGGCGGTAAGGAAACAATGAGCTCACTGTGGGACCTGTTGAATTGGAGGAGGGCCGAGACCTACTGGCATCTGCGACAGGGCAAGTGAACCTCCCACATTCCTACTGAACCTGACCACGGACGTTCTCTGCTTCCAGTACTTCGTCTTCACGGGGGTGTTGGCTATGGTGACCTGTGCCGTTTTCCTCCGACTCAACTCCGTCCTGAAGCTGGCCGTGCTGCTGATCATGATTGCTATCTACGCCCTGCTGACCGAGACCATCTATGCGGGCCTCTTCCTGCGCTATGACAACCTGAACCACAGTGGAGAGTAAGTGCCCACCGCTGCGTGTTCGCAAGGTGCTCCACTGCCAGTGGGAAGTGGAACCATTGAGAAAAGGGTGGAGGTTGAGCCATAGAAACTTGGGGACTGATTGAATATGAACATATTTCTCAACCTAGGCACTTTCAAGCTTCCAAATGATTAATTAATGAGTTAAAGTTTGGGCTAAATCATAGCTCCCCTAAGCCTAATAATTTATGACTCCTTCAAGTTTAACAGCTCCAAGACTTGTAGGGTCTGATTATAATTTGGCTATAGCAGTCTTAATAATAGCAGACATTGTGCATTGAGCACTTACTATGCTCCTTGCATTTTTATTATTTTTATTTTATTTTATTTTTTTTAGCTGAGCCATCCTGCCACCTGTTGGCAGCTCAGCGGCAGCTCAACTCGGGCCAGGCATCAAACCGCTGTTGCTCAGAGCTCAAACTCTTGAGAGAGCTCTTAACCAACTGAGCCACTCGGTCGGCCCTGCATTTTATTATTTTTGCAACATAGAAAAATACTAGAAGAGTCATCATATCCTAGCCCAGATTCCTTAGAGAACAGAGCCTGAGGCAAGCCTGGGGTGCTTATGCAACCCAAGGGCAGCAAAAGGGAGGGAAAGGAAAGTGAAGAAGAAAAGGATGGGAGGCAATTACAAGCTAATGCCATATTAAGCTGGTCATGAGAATTGTGAAGAGGTTCAGCTGGTGCCTTGGGACAGCCACTGACTTGGCCAGTTGAAATGCCCCTGGATAGGTGGTGAGTTGGGGGAAAGCATCTCAAACACAGCAGGGGAGAGGAATTTGCTGCCTCTTCTCTCCTTTCTCCCTTTAGTCACAGTTCACCCTTTGGATGCACCTCCTGCCGCCATCACTTGGCCCCTTCCACAGCTCATGGGGAAAGCAGACCCCGCCCCTGCATTAGGGAGCTTCACGGTGGGAGGAGCCAGACAAGCGGTGGGAGGAGCCAGACACTGAGCGCGTGGCTGATTGGTCTTGGGTGCAGGAAGCATGTGGATCTGTGAGGTTCTGAAGTGCCTGGCACATGGTGGATGATCAATATCTGTTCATTCCTCTTCCCTCTCTCCTTCGCAGGAGAGAAGTTTAGTTGTGAATTCTGTTCTGAGGTCTTAAGGAAGAGCTTGTAGTTACATTCTTAAGCAGGGCTGTGAAAGTAAACATCATCCCGAACTCATTGCTGCTGATAGTTCGAGTGCTTTTCTCAGCTTCTTCCTGAATTGAGGTCAATTATTGGTTAGTCTTGTATTGACTCATACTTTGCTATCAACAGAAGTGAATGAATAAGGAACAGAAGAGCTCATCAGCCTTCCCTGTCAGCTGCACGATGCGTCAGCAGATCAATAGTCACCGTGTACCCAGTTGGCAGTCACAGGCTGCTCTTGCTGTTGGGGATTTAACCATCACTTTAGGAGCTCACACTGGTTCAGGGGCATTTCCGCTGCTTGTTCCTGGGAGTCAAGTACCTGGGAAAGTACAGAGAAACTTACCCAAGGCAGCCTGGCTGCATCTCCATCAAGATGGTCCCAGGTGGTCCCAAATACTTCAGACTGGCATCTGCTGGTCTGCTCATGAGGACCCCTCCATGACAACCCCATTTCAGTAGATGACACTGAGTCTAAAACAGGTGGGGCACCCTCACCCCCAATATCTTATCAGTCCCGAGAGATTCATCTTCCTCAGCACCCCTTGTAGGGAAGCACTATATCATGATGTTTGCAAGTACAAGTTTAGGAGTTAAACCACATGAGTTCAAATCCCAGCTCTACCATCAACCAGTGTGTGATTTTGAGCAAATTAATAAAAAATGCCACAACCTTTCTAAGCCCTGCTTTCCTCACCTGTAAAGTGGGGGTAATAATAGTTCCTATGTTGTAGGAATATAAGATAATCAAATGTGATCATGGAAACTTAGTGCATGGCCCCTTTTTACCACAAAGGCTACTGTTCTAGAAATATCATATTTTCCTCTTTGCACTGCTGTCTCCTAACTGGTCTCCCAGCCTCCACTTTCAATCCACTCTTCTCAAAGCCATCAAAGCCATGTGATAAACTCATTATTTTTGTTTAAAACTCTAAGGGGATCCCTATTGCCTGCAAGAAACTAAAAGTTCAACCTATTTATGAAGGACTTCAGAGCTCTCCCTGATCGGACTCCTCAGTTCGATATAAGGAGATAAGATTGACTCCTCCAGTCTTATCTCCTACAACTTCATGGTCACCATTTATAGCCTATATTTTAGCCGTGGGAAACCATGTGCTATTTACGAGATGGCCTTCTGCCCATATTTTCCTCTGCCTGATAGGTCCATCTCCCTGACTATTTCCAACCCATCATTCACAAGGTCCAACTCAAGGACAAGCTTCTTGGTGAAGCCCTCTAATCATTCCTCACTTTAATCTATGCATATAATTTATTTTATCATTGCACTCATCTCTCTGTGTTGTAAATATTAATTTTCATGCCTTCCTCTTTAACTGGAATAAGAGCTTTTGAGGGCAAGGACCATTACTCATGGTCATATTTTTGGCACTTAGAGTATCTGGCAGCAGGTGTCCAATTAAATATTTGTTGAATGAAGCATGAAATGAATGAGTGACTGAAAGAAACATTAGCTTGTTTGTAATCATATTACACCATCGATTCACAGTGAGCTAAGTGTTACCTATCTACACCCGCTAAGATTTTTGTTCAACATTGCCCATAAACCATATGCCCCCCATCCTGTAAGTACAATTTGCTTTTGGAGCTAAGTGTCGTACCTTTGCTGTGGGCTTTGCTAGGCCCTGCAGATTCACAGATGGATAAGACAGTATTTCCATCTTCCAGGAGCTTGGGGGCAAGCGATTACAAGGAAGTCATAGAGGAGGGCATGGTAGCCACTGAACAAGCATCACTGAGACCTAGATTCATAGCCAGCCTTCACCATTCACTAGATGAACTAGAATGTGTCGGTCAACATCAGAGTCTCAGTTTCCTTTAGAAGAATAGGAATAATAGCATCTTTTTTTTAGATTTTTTTTTTAATTGGGGGATGGGAACAGAAAAGTTGCTGTTGTTTTGTTCTTCAGTCTAGTTGTGGAGGACGTTGCTTCACTGGCCCAAGTTGGCACCATCATTGCGCTCTTCCCGGGCG